TAGGTGTAATTACAGTAATAGTAGCTACGTTAGTAATAACTATTATTAGCTTAAGCTACTCTTATTTCTTACACTCTTTCTTCTTTTTAGTCTCTTACTTGCGTCTCTACTTTATTAACTCTTTCTTCTTACTTAAACTAAATATATTCTATCTAGAACTTACTTTAGCTTTCTTCTTAGTAATATAATAAGCTTTCTTTTCTTCTACTACTATTTATGCTGCCTTAACTTCTTTAGCTTTAATATACGCTTATTTTTTCTTAGTAGTATACTTAGTGTTTTCTACTATAATATACTTCTATTCTAGATATTTTTTCTCTTTACACTAAAAACGCTCTTCTTCTTTATACTTAACTTTAAGCTAAGTATTATATTATAATAATAAATAAAATAGACTTATTAGAGGTAGAGATAGAAATAGAGATAGGTAAGATAATCTTACTCTATAGACTTTCTTCTTTTTTTTTTCTTTTTAGAGATAATAGGCGCGCTACTCTAGCTATTCTATCTTAACTTAACTTTAAATGTATCTTCTTTATCTTTAGTAGTAACTAAGTTTATAATAGTAACGTTTTACTTCTAAAGTTACGTAATAGTTTCTATCTCTACTCTAAGCTAATAGATCTTAGCTAACGCTTTCTTTTATATCTTTACTTTAGTATTCTTTTTTATAAAAGTGTTTTCTTTTATTCTTTTCTAAAGCTTTATTATCTTTTACTTATTATATAATAATAAGGCTATAGGCGTACTAGCCTCTATTCTACTACTTAAATTCTAGCCTAGATTAAGTAAATAGAAATATAGAGGCTTACTATATTTAGACGTTAATAAACTATTAGTTATAGTCTTTTCTTTATATAACCTATCTACTTTCTTACTATATAGACTAATAATAGCTTAAGCTAGTAGCTATATTAATATAAAGCTTTTAATACTTTTAAAGAAGTCTAGTACTAATAATATAGAAGAGTTTTATTTAAAAGTCTATTAAGCTTTTTTTAATATAAAGTCTTAAAGCTATATATATTTATTAGAAGGCTCTATAATAAACTTTTCTTAAATAGCGCGTATATTATTACGTAAATATATTTTCTTACCTTATTACTTTAGCTTAATTTATACTAATTTCTAGAGTCTAGAGTTAGATAAGAAATTATATATAGAGTAGGTTGTATATAAACTTAATATATAGGTATAAGTAAGAATTAAGTAGATAACTTTTAGTTCTAAGTTACTTTAAAGTCTATATAAGAGTAGGCATTATAAAAGTTATAAGGTAAGATATTTTAGGTAGGTAAACAACCTCTAATAGTAATATATATTACTATTATAGTAATATATAAATATAAGGTAAGATAAAATCTTATTATATTAGTAGTAATTAGAGCTAATATATATATAAGTAATAGATTAGTTATTAACTCTACTCTAGTTATATAAGCTCTACCTATATAGATAGTAATTAACTAGTTCTATTAATTATATTTATATAAATGTATTTAGCATTTTAAACTTAGATAGTTAATTAGACTAAATCTAGTAATATTACTTTTATTCTACACTTTAGCAGAGTAATAAACACTTTAAACACTTCTTATACTATAGCTATATCTATTCTTAGCCTAGTTAGAGGCACGCTAGTAATATATATAGATATCTATTTAGTTTAGTAGGTAAAGCTGCTTCTAGACCTATATAGCCTACTACTACTTAGAAACCTTTACTAAGCACTAAAAGATACTTTTTAGTTAACCTTTACTAAGTAGATTAAGTAGTATAGAAATATTGTTTTAGTTAACCTTAGAAGTACTATTATTATAGTTAGTAATTATAAAATAGCTAAAGAACTACTTAATAAGTAAAGAAATATCTATAGTAGTAGGCTGCGTTTTATAGAAAATTACTATAACGTATTAGAAAGTACTACTAACTAATACGTATAGATTATAGAGTATAAGTTAGTATATAATAGTAATCTAAGCTTATTATAAATACTTTAACGTAATACGTAATACTTTTAAATAACTCTAGAAGGCTCTTAAGTAGTTACTAAATCTCTAAGTTCTAGATAGGTATATAGTAAGCTATTACCTATAGGCTTAATACTAGCGCCTAAAGCTTCTAATATAGAAGAAAGTTATTACGTAAAGGTTTAGAGATAATTAGCTTACTTAATAGCTTTTAGAATATGTATCTATACTAGAAAAGAATAGTAGTTAGATTAAACTCGCGAATATATAAAGAACTTCTATATTACTAGCTAAATAGAAGTCTAGATTATAGATACGCTACTATAGCTTAACTATCTATCTATAGCTATTACGCCTTAAAAGTGCTAAGCTATAAAGTAGTTTTATAAGCTTAATAACCTATATATCTAGAGCTATAATAAGGTAATCGAACGCAAGAAATAGAACTAGGTAAAGAACTTTAAAATAGCTACTAAAGCTTATAGTATAACTAAGCAGTAGGTTACCTAGAATATTAGTATACTTACTAATACTAGAGTTAAAACTATAAATACTATACTTATAATCTTTATTCTTATATATATTATATATCTTAAATAGCTTCTAAAGGTATAGAAGAAGCTTAATAAAGTTATAGATAGTAAGTAGCTACCTAAGTTTAGAAACTTAAAGAACTTACTATATATTTAGACTATAGTAGAAGAGGTTTTCTACTAGTATTATCTATAATAAGCTAGTATTCGGCACGCTATAACCTATAAAAACTAGTATTAGAGCTACTCTATCTTTCTAAGAGCTCTGTTATTATTTTACTTTTCTATATAATATAATATAATAAGAACCTTCTTAATAGACTAGTAGAATTCTATTTTAAATATTAAATTAGTAAGTTATAATTTAATAACTTTAGATATAGTTATAGAATCTATTCTAGTTATTATATTACGCGTAATTTAGTAAGTATAGTAGTTACGCGCCTACTATAGGCATTTAATATTTTTACGCTAAGTAGAAAGAAACTTATTATAGAAGAAAGTATATTTACTATAAAACTTATATTAGCTATAAAGCCTTTTACGTATATCTTTAAGCTCTAGAGTAAAATACCTATTTATATTATTTAAAAGTTTTTTAAGAAGATAGATAAAAACTTTATAACTTTTTTTAATAAAGTATATAAGAAGTATAATACGCTAGAAATTAAAGCTTACGCGTAGTATCTACTTACTATTAACTTTAACGCGCTATATAGCTATATAACCTATCTATCTTAACTATATAGTTAAAGCTTAAGCTATAGCTAGCTAGCTTATGTATTATAATAGTAATATAGAGTAACGCGTATATAGCTATACTATAGGTACTTATAATAGGTAGAAAGAGTAGAGATAGATTAAGAATAGATAGTAGTAGAAGAAATATTATTATAAAGGCTATTTAGAATATAAGTAAGTATTTAGATATTATTTTTATAGTGTATAGAGTGTAGCGCGTTATAGCGTATATTAAAGCTAGTAGTAGAGATAAGAGGTATATTAAGAGATATATATAGAGAGTAAAGTAGAGTTAGTAAATAACGTATTAGAGCTAGTAGGTAAGCTAAAGCGCTAGCTTATATATATTTAGAGTTTTATTATAAAGTTTCTTAAAGAAGTGTTATATAGAGTATCTAGGTTAAGAGAGCTATTAATTATATTATAAGAAGTAACTAAGTATAGCTCTATAACGTTATAGCTTATTCTACTAGCTTTAGATACTATAGGTACTATATTATTAGAATAATTACTTTAATAGAAGACCTACTTCTAATTACTTAATATAGTTAAATAAGAGTAATAGTTCTTTTGTTATAAATGCGCTAGTATACTTTACTATACACGTTAGTGTAGTAAAAGTTAGCAACGCGCTAAAACTCTATTACTACTAGTAATCTAAAACTATAGTACCTGTAAGATTAAGATACGTATAGAAGTTAAGTAAGTAAACTTATTAGATAGGTGTATATATATAGTAGCTCTCTAAATTATTCTATAGTAGAAGCTACTGTACGTAGCTCTATTAACTTAGCCTTTCTAGTACCTCTAAAGGCGTAATTTAGCGCCTTAACTAATAGCGCGCACTATATATATAGTAAAGAAATATAGTATTCTATAGTACGCTTTTTATAATTAGCTTCTTATTTATATACTAAGAAAGTCTAATATATAAATAATAGAAAGAGAATTCGAAGATAGAGATTAACTAACTTTAATACTAGTTATAGAGTACACTATTAGCGTCTACTACCTATAGAGAAAGAGTGCTTAGAGTTATAGAATAGACTTATATAGTATATAGCACTCTACCTTCTAAAGCTCTAAACAACTAAATTATTAGAAAGAAAATAGTGTAACTGTTTTTAATTATAATTATAAGTACAATTCTTCTTTAGATTGCATAGTAGCTATTTTAGGCTAGATTTATTAGCCTTAGTATAGAAGAGAATGTACTTATGCGCGTATACACTAGATTTAATCTAGCTAGCTGTATTAAGGTTTTGTCTCTCTAAGCTTAGTATTCTTACTATTATTTAGATAGGCTCCTTCTTAGCTGTTACTACTGTTACGGTACTTCTGTAAGCTAAGAAGTTTAGAGCAATTAGAGCACTTTATTACATAACTTCTTTAGCTCTAAGAAACAGCGCATAAACTTGTGTTAATTAATTTAATGCCTTACAGCGAGCTTTGCACAACAAAGAATCTTAACTTCTTTAACGATGTTCTTACAAGCAGACAACAGAAGGCCTTGCTCGGTCTAGGATATGCGGCTAGCTCTAGCGTATACTGGATACTTGTGTTTGCTTGCACTCTTGTGCATTTGGAGTTTCCCCTTTTTGCACGACGCCCAGTTTTTATCCCACGCCCAATCCTATCTCGCTCGCGACAAGCTCGCCGTGTGGTAGATAAGAGGCAGCGCTCACCGGGCCATTGGCGACGCCGTTGCGGAAACCATAGTTTCTGGTGATGCCCCACAAATATCCTTTCTCAACTGCTACAATTCCGCTCGCAGCTGATCTTCGTCGCTTTCAATATCTGTATCGTTGATAGTGACGTGGCACCCATTATCTGTAGCACGCTCATCTTCCGTGGCCATGCTCTCGAATATTGCTGCAGCACCCGGCATACCTGGTGCGAAAGCCGTGGCGATGGATTCGGTGAGCGCTTGACCGGTTGCCACGGATATGTCAACCCGCTGCTGCGCCAAAGATCTCTCGAGTAGTAGCTCCTCCTGGTCGAGCATTTTCTTCTCTGCTTGTATCTGGGTGATCCTTATTCTCCCCTTCTGCTCCATTGCCTCCACATCCTGGTTCATCTTTTTGACGTGTGTATCCACCTGTACATATACAGTTTGCAAACGTGCTTTGCCCGTATTTTCTTGCAGAGCTTCAGCTAGCATACTGGCAGAGTAGATCTGTGATAGCAACCGATCGGATGGAAGGTGTAAGCGATGGACTGCAGCGTGGCGTAATTGAGCGACGATTGGAACCAACCTCTTGAAAGACGCTTGATCAGCGGTGCTCATGCAGTCGTCGGGCAGGGATTTTATATGCTTCTTGATGATATAGAGCCATTTTGTAAGCTCGACTGCAGCTGCACAACTCCAGCCACGCTCCTCAAGCAAAAAAGGAAGCCATACTTTCATGAAGTTGAAGCATGACTCTTCAAGGATTTGCTGGGTCACAGATAATACGCGGTGTTGAATTTGAAAGGGAATTCTAGGATGGTGCAAGGCCAAGCAAGCAGATCCTTCCTCTCCATTATGAGCGATGCGAACTCCTGCGTCTGAATTTTGTGAGACTTTCTGTCTTCAATAGCAATGACGCAGAAAGCTTACTAGCTGCAGTTCCTTCAGCCAATTCTTCAACGCAAGCGGCCTGCAATGTATATTCGTCCTCGATCGATCTCCCAGACGACGCCTTACGCTTCTTCGAGATGTTCTTAGCCGATGGTTCTTGGGGCGGTTCCGGATATAGATCCGGAAAGTGCTTCCTTGCCTCCTCCTCAGACTCGAAGACACGACAACGGAGGAGAGATATGAGAGTAGGGACGATTTGGTCAATATGAATGTCGCCAACAGAATCGCCTGGGACAGGCGAGTGGTCTGAAATGAGCTTACGAACTACCCTCCTTTTTCGCACATGCGCGTTTCTACCAACGAAAAGTTCGCGATATTCCAAAAATAAGCGCTGACGACTGGTGTGTGTCTGATAGTTCATCTCGCCACAAAAGATGTGGATGGCAGCATGACCTTTGTTGACGAAGGCAAGCCCTGTTGTCGCGTAAAAGTCTTGGGCGCGCCGCAAACGGTTGGTGCCAACACGACCATAGCAACAACAGCATTCCCTCCTCCTATTCATCGACCGCTGACACTACCCTGCGGTTCGATCGAAAGCGTGAAGTGTTGCCTTTTCACAATATTCATTCCTCAGATCCTTTCCAGCTGCAAGAATCACACACGTCATCTTTAAATATATTGGGTGGGCACGGGAACAACGACCTCGGCATCCGCCTCGTAGTCTAACCTTGAGAGACATAGCTCGCTGCGCTGCTGTTTTAGCGACACCGCATACGCCGAAAAGGCAACGGGAAGACGACCGATCTCTTGCGTACCCTACCGATACCGTCGTGCCCGTGCGCCCAGCGAGCCAGTTCGGCCAACAAGCCCACCTCAACAGTATGAGGACTTTAGACAATTTAGGCTGTAGAACCACCTCAAATCGTGAGTATCCTGAAATTTCTTGGTGTGTTACTATATAGAGGCTTGCGAAACTATCCAACTATTCAGGAGATTTTTTTATGGGCGCCGTATTGACTATGTGCGGGAACGTTGAGGTGGAGGAGCTGGTGGCTCAGGTGCAGCACCAGCTTGACTTGCAGGACCCACAACAAAAACAACAACGCTCTGAATTCTAGTTACCAGCGCTTTGTGAGGCTTTTCGCTTGCCCTTGTCTAGTGTATCGCGAGTTTTTGGCGAGGTTGCAGCTTCGCGTTGCTGCTTTTCAGGCGCCTGGGCGGCAGCCAGTTCCTCAGCCCTCGCTTTCTTCTCCTTCGCTCGCTGCTCAGCGGCTTCTCGTCAAGCCGCCTTCGCAGCCTCAGCCTGCTTCTTGCTGTACAACCTTGCCGCTGCTCTTAGCTCTCCATCGCGAGCTTTCTAGGGTTGTTGCGCCTTAGCTCCGTTTCACCTTCTCGCGCGCGCGGGCATCGCGGAGCTTCCTTGGGGACCTGGAAACAGCACCACCATGATACCCTTTGCGCTGTTGAAGATCCATACTATGGCACTTCTTCTTTTGTTTCTTTTTGTTCAATAGAGCCTGTTGTAGGAGCTCGTTTTCGGCGTGGAGAAGCTCGTTTTCCATTTGTCGAGGGTAAAGCGAAGCCTCGAGCTGCCTAGCTTCAACTTTTGTCTTATCTAGTATCGCAGTGTTGTGTAACTTTTAGAGTTAAATCTAGCTATTGCCTTTACTATATTTTCTAGTTTTTAAAGTCTTATCTTACTCTAAACTATAGTTATTAAATAGTTATAGTATAACCTATACATCTCTTAGCTATACTTAAGAACTCTTTAATATTACTTCTAATCTTATTTTAGAGCTTCTTGCTATTAAAAAGATAGTAAAGAACTTATCTTTATTAACTTTAATAAGCTCTTACAATTAGTAGAGGTAGTAATTATAATCTTAAGAATAATTAATAGTAAGAGGCGTAAACAGAACTATATCTAGTAGCTAAAGACTAAGAATTATATACTTAAATTTTTAGAGTATTATAACACTAATTATATTCTACTAGCTATCTTTTCTTCTTATTTAACCTACAGCCTCTAGCTACTTAATATAGTACTATTCTTACTACTTTTAAGAGTGTATACTATATAACTTAGCTACTATACGTAGTAATTGCAAGACCTTATAAGAATAGTAAAAGCTAACTTCTTTATAAACTTCTAGAAGGTATAGAGCTCTATAATAAAGCTAGAGCTTATTATAAAGATTTTTAGGCTATAGACGTATAGCTAATAAACTTAGACACTATTCTAAAACACTTTAATAACTATCTATAATAATAAGATAAAGACTTAGAAATTAGAGAGTATAGTAATAGTAATAGCTAGCTTTAGCTACGTAAAATTTCTAACACTATAGTTACTAATAAAACTAAAGTTAAAGCCTAATAGCTAATGTTATTATAAAACCTCTACTCGCGAATAGAGAAAGCGTAGACTATAGAGGTAGCTACTAAAAGAGCTCTTAAAAAGCTGCAACGTATTACTATAACTATAGAAAAATCTCGCGATAGAGCTAATACTAGTAAGTAAAAAGTTTCTTATAGCTCTATAAAAGATCTAATAAAGCGTTATTATGTTATAGGTATAGTAAGCTAGGTAGACGCTATACCTAAGGCTTCTTCTCTATCTACTTAGAAGACGCGTATATAGTTAATATAGCTACCTAAGAAATTAGCTAAATAGCTAGAAAGTTTTATATACATCTATATACTAATATAGTAAGAAATCTTATAATAATAGCTTTTATAGGCAGCTCTATAGCCTTATTTCTAAAATTATAGCTTTATATTAGAGTAGCTTAGATACTAGAATAGCTTAAATACTGCGCTAACACTATAGAGCTAGGCACCTAGTCTAGAGTCTATTTTAAAATAAAGGCTCTATAACTATAACAGTTACGCAGGTATAATCTATAAATAACATTTAGTCTATCTAATAATAGGAAGAGACAGCTGCGATGTTCTGTGCACACTTGTTAGGTCTTAGCTCTCTGCTAGTTAGGCAGAGCGCCTACTTTTTTAGGTTGCTAGGGAAAAACTACTTAGCATAGAAATAGGGTTACTTAATCTTGTTCTGCAGAAGCATGCACAAACAACTTCTCTACTATCCTCTGCCGCAATAACTTCTTTGTTTCTCTCCTCGCCCTCGTTCTCATCTTCACAGTCTCTTAATCGAATTCAGGACTGGCTGCGCGCCTCTCTAGACCCAGCGCTTACCGCATCGCCCTTGCGCCCGCCGACTCCTCCGAAATCGCCCGCAACTACACCTACACGATCGCTGAAACGACGCCGCGCCGCCTCGTCATGCAATATAGATAACGGCAATACCCCGCGCAGCTCTAGCCTAAGCAAAAGACGGCGCAAGTATAATAACCCTCTCTCGGAACAAAGTACATCGCGAACTAGTAGCGTTGTTTTGTCTAACTGTACCGTTTTAACGGCAACAGGCAGCGCAAAGCAAACCTCTAGCCTAAGTTGTTATCTTACTAAGCTGCGGACCGCTTAACCCTCAATTTCGCTCTCCCTAATAACTATGCCCCCTAAGCCGCTGTTGGAGGAAGCTATAACACGCCTCAGGCGGCTGAGAAGGCAGTTGGGCAGTGCTCTTAAGGGTGGCTACATTCCGGGAGGTTTGAGGGACGCAATTGAGCAAGACCCAGACTTTCGGCTGGGCACCTATGTTATGATCACTCTACCAGTCGAAGACCGCCTGGTCGTGAACAATCAGTAGCCCAACAAAATCTGTCCGGATTATCGGTAGCCTTCGCTGACAACCACGGTACTGCGGTGACGCACCGGACCTGCAGCCCTCCGGCAAATCACCCTACGTTCATCCTGCGCATGAAAGTACTATTTCGCTTCTTCGGCTGGCCATCGCCACTCCACCAACCTTTCTGCATAGTCGAGGTCTGCATGGTTCCAGGCGTCGGGGGCCAACCAGAGCATTTGCGTGTCTTGGCGCGTGTTAGTTCAAGACTATCGAGACAGAAGGCGACCTACGCACTGGTATCGCGAGCTTGTGGCGTGGCAAGAAAGAGACAAAGAGCGCGTCGAGCACAACACGCGCGCGATAACTCGGCCCTTGCGGGTGTTTACTGTTTTCCATCAGCCCTTCCGCTCAGGCCTTGCTTGTTTCAGTGCGTGCCAGCTAGCGTCAGCCACCCAACATACCGTGCCCGTGCACCCAACAAGCCAGTTCGGCTAACCAGCTACTATAACATAAAGTCACAATTATAGAAACAAGGCTATTAAGCTGCCTGCATAAGCTAATATTATAAGATTTCTTAGTATGTTATTATATAGTCGCTTGCAAAGCTTTCTAGCTATTTATAATATCTCTTAGAGGGCTATATTAACTGTCTTTAGGTGCTTTTTAGTATAGGAAATAGAGGCGCTAGCGCAGCTTTAGCCTAACTTGCTGCAGCTATAATACAACAACACTGTGTTAGATCTTGCACAACTTTATGTAAGGCATTTCGCTTGCCGTTTTTTAGTGTATCGTGACAATTATTAGGGTTAGTGTTAGCAGAGTAGAAGGATCGAACTGATGTCCTATTTGCCCTAAGTATTTCACTTCCAAAATTGCGCTGAGGAATTACATGGGCACTAGC